AAAAATTAGCTGGGCATGGTGGCACATGCCTGTAGTCCCAGCTACTCGGGAGGCTGAGGCAGAAGGATCGCTTGAGCCCAGGAGTTTGAGGTTGCGACACCACGGTACTCTAGCCCAGGCAAGAGAGTGAGACTCTGTCCAAAAAAAAAAAAAATCAATGCCAGAATGAATGTAAATCTTTGACATTTGTAGGATAAATTCCTTTAAGGAGAATTTTTGGTTAAAGGGCATGTATATTGAATTTTTTATAGATACTTACATCTTGATATTTAGTACTGAATGCTATCCAAAAAGTACCAGTGTCCGTTCCTACAAATAGCAAGAAGCACATTCTTCTTACTACTGACTGTTAACCAAATTTTTAAATATTTGCCAACCTACTAGCTGAAAATGGCATTTGATTTTATTCAGATTTCTCTAATCATGAGTGAGTCTGAGTAACTTTTTGTGTATTTTATTGGCATTTTTTCTTTTCTTTTTCCATAAATTTGTGTAGGATGCATTTACTTCTTCTAGTACATCTTATTGTAGAAACATTTTTATCTGAAACAATGTGTGTGCACACTATTATTCTATTATTATACTAGATTGTCGTTTTTAGACATTTTGCCTTGCCCCAAAGGCATGTTCCATCAGCAGGTGGTGAGACGCTTTCCTACAGCCATGACTTTGTTACTTTTGAGTTTCAGAGGCTCTGGGTTCTGGGTTTTACTTACTAAAAAATTTCCAACTTCTGTTATCATCAACTTTCTTATTAAAACACTTTCCATTTGGCTACGATGGCGTAGGTCTTAACTGCCGAGGACAGGGACTGTAAGGTTAGCAGTCGTTGCCTGTGGGATTCGTGTCCTGGGTACAGAAAGTTTGAACTGAGATTTTTTTCCCCCCCTTTATTTCAGGATTGAATCCAGTGATCTTCCTCTTTTGGCTGCTGTAGCGAGCACTCACTCTCCCTATGTTGCTCAGATACTGCTTTAACATACCTAACGGTTGTTAGAAACTGGTGGAGGATAAGTAGAAACCAAGGAAGCGTATACAACATGGACTTACGGAAATTTTTTCACGGTTAGACTTCCATCCGAATGAGTCAGTCCGCATTGTCTTGTGCATTGCATTATGTGTTCTGTGTACATCAGACTGGACTTTTGGGTGGTAGTAGATTTTTAACCAAGTAAAGTTAAAGCAACATCAATAATTTTGGGGGGAAACATTTGAAAAAGCCAAAGTGTAACTTACAAATTTCTGCAAAATGAATATTATCAAGGAATTACGATGTTGTCACAATTCATAACAACAGATGTCTCATGATTTGATGGCTCAGAAATAGTCATTTTATTAGTCTTTAATTCTTTATTTCTAAGGTACAGAGATTGATTATTTGTTATTTTGTTTTACAATTCAAAATAGCTACTTTCTGGTTATTTCACAAAGTATTTTGAACAGCCTGTTAATTATAACAAACTCAGAATAATGAGTGTAAATGTGTGTTATATTATCTACCCAACTGTACATATGTATCTATTTTTTTAAACAGAGGCAGAAATACAAGATTGGTAACATGCCTTTTTAAAAAAATATTTTCCACTATTATTAACTACATGTAAAGTTGAAATGTTACTTTCTGGTGATTTTTTTGTTTCACACACTCTAAAATATAAGTAAAGCCAATCTTTTTTTAAGGCTGAGGAATATAGATTCCAAAAATAAGAATACTACTTTATATCATTTGTTTGTAAGTATGAGCTAATTCATGTAAATATTAATATTTACATATTCACTAATTTAAAAAATGAAAACTAGAATTAAAAATTACACCAAAGCATTGGCAAAAATAATACTATTTTCTTTAAAAGTGCTCAGGTAGCCAAGGCCCTTGCTTTCTGTATCAGCCCTTAAAACCATAGGAGCTAAATATTTGTTTCACTGCTTGATAATATTCTATTTACACTCATAGAACTCATAACTCTTGAAATTATTCTCTTTTCTCTAAGAGCCTCTCCCTTCTAAAAGCTGATTTTTTTCAAATATTTCCACTTCTCAGTTGTTGTCTTTGTACATACTATCGAGTGTTGCTCATAAAGAAGGCTAATATGGAACCAAACTCTTGTAAGTAATGTAAATAGAAAAATGGGTAGATAAAGTTTTCAATACGCTCTACTACCTCAGTTTACTTGAATACTACATTGTAGTTTATTCTTTGCTTATCTAGTCTAAGGTACTTTTGATGCCAGAAGTAGAGTTGGTTTCTGCTTTCATTGACTATTTTTTATCATAATTAATTGATTTAAAAAACTTATTTAATTATTAAATACATTAACTATATAATACACATCCATTCTTGCTGTTTAAATTTCCAGTAATTAATGGGAAATTTCTGTGGTTTGTTTAGCTTTTGAACTTGAATTTATAACATTGGGTTACATTTTGCCTGGCTCACTGTACGTTCGAGACATCTCCAACTAGACAAAGAAGAAATAGTTACTTTAACGGAACGTGAACTTGACCTGGGTGTGCCTGCAGTCTGTTTGGCCACGTCCTGTTAGCTGGTCCCGCTTAGTACCCGAGTCTCCCGTGGATGACTTGCTGCCAAAGAATGTTTATTTCCTTTGGCTTAATTTTCTTATTCCATTCATTAATAAAATTCTTCTGTTGTCTAATTTGAAATACTATGAGTCAGTCTCTTGGGCAGAATTCAGAATACAGAAAAGTTCATATGTGTGCCATTGTACATTTTTTTTTGATTATAGCTCAGAATAATATGTATCAGATAATATCTGTTTCTGGGTGTTTTCTTAATTATCAAACTCTTCTATCTGTTTGAAATGTCTGATGAATTATCATTTAGAAATTCTAGTCGTCAATAAGTGGATGGCTCATGCTACTGTAATACTTAAAGCTAAGCTTTGCTGGAAAGGAAAAGGCCTTGTAGCTTCTTAAAGAATCGTTAATCCTTATAGGATTCCTGAGTTTTATAATTCCTAACCCTTTGATAATTTCTGTTACCTTCATTATAGTCATTCTTTCCTTACACAAAGCCCAAGGAATGAGCTGCTACTTCTTAAAAGTGTGGTCATTATGATGAATATGGAAAGAGTTTTAGCCTGTTTGAAATAATTTTTTTCAATTTATGGTACAGACAGATAGGTGTTACATATCAGAAAAACCTGTTTGTTGGAACAGGAAATGAAAAAGGGATCTTTTAAATTATAGAATTAAAACTAATTTTTTCTTGTATATAAACTAATTGATTTGATTTTAAATATTCCTGGCCTTTATTAATATGTCTTAATTTTGAGTTTGAAAATGTTAAGTGCAATAAAAACATACTAGCACAGATTTCATTTTGTTGGAATTGGCATACTCTGGGGGATGATTACTAAAAAACCCAGATTTTACACAATGCGTACTTCTAGTAGATGTCTTATGAGAATGTTCTGCTTTCTCTAAGTTATTTAGATGGTGGATATGTAAAATGTACATACTTACTCCTTGTCTGTATACATTTCTCAAATGTACCCCTGTATTATAATAACCTCCCAGTTCTAGGGGAAATTTGTGCAATAAATACACATGTCAATTTGATGGATGATGTTGGTCTTTCTTTCACGTGTTAATAAGGTACATGTAACATTGTAGACTCTGGTGTCAAACTTGGATTCTTGTCCGAAGTTCGACACTTTCCATATTGGTAATTTAGTAGAATCCACTTCATGACGTTGTTGGGAGAGTTGTTGGGAGAATCAAGTGCAATGATGAACATGAAGAATTTAGCTAAATGCTGGCACAGCCTAAATGCTCGATAATTTTTGGCTGCTTCTGTTACCAGGTAATCTGTCCAGCCTTCCTCTTGTGGGCCCGACCTGTTTTGGGGAGAATTTTTAACATATGTTCTTATGAATAAAAACATAGTAACAAAAAATATAGTGGTGGCCGGGCGTGGTGGCTCATGCCTGTAACCCTAGCACTCTGGGAGGCCAAGGTCGGAGTTTTGCTTGAGGTCAGGAGTTCAAGACCAGCTTGAGCAAGAGCGAGACCCCGTCTCTACTAAATATAGAAAAAATTAGCCAGGCATGGTGGTGCATGCCTGTAGTCCTAGCTACTCAGGAGGTTGAGGCAGGAGGATTGCTTGAGCCCAGGAGTTGGAGGTTGCTGTGAGCTAGGCTGATGCCACGGCACTCTAGCTGTGGGCAACAGAGCGAGACTCTGTCTGAATAAACAAATAAATAAAATTTTAAAAAGTAAACATTCAAAAAATGTAGTGGTATCTTCTTATGCCTGACCTAATCCTCACAATGACAAATTGAAAATGTCTTTAAACGCATTTATGAAAGCAAACTGACCTCAATAAACTAAAACCTTAGAAGAACTCATGTAAGGCTGGTAAGAACATTGTATCTAGTAGAGATTACTATAGACTTTACCTTTAAACAAAAAAATGGCCAATTGTTTGGGTTCTAATCCTGGCTTGTTCACTGATTTGCGTCTGACTCTGAGCAGGGCTGTCCTTTTCATCTGCGTTGCCGGGAAGCCAGCTCCTCCGCCAGTCCTTGGTGCTTGCTCTGCAGTGGTGTTTCAGCCCTGAGGAGGCTGTTTGGGAAGCTGCCTTCCTCAGGCTAGGCTGATTTAGGCAGACTAAAGGCAAGACTAGACTAGGGGCTTTTTGGAGTGTCTATTTTCATATAGTATTACATGTATTACTCTTAAATTTAACTGAAGGAAATAAGTGGTCTGTTTTAAACAGACAGGAAGTATCAAGTATTTGGGAAGCATCCATCAGATAATTTAGAGGTTTATAATTGGCAACATTTCTGAGAAGAAGGGAGGACTGATTGTGCTAATGAGAAATGGAGATACGGAGAATTTCATGTGACTGTCTGAAGTCATACATCCTTCCCTGCGTGGCCCATCTCGTCTCTCAGACCAGAATGGTTTCCCAACCAGTGTGCGGTGAGAGATGTATTGTGCAGATATCCGGGATTTCTTCATTTGTCTTTGCCAATGTGGAAGGTAGGGGTGGGGCGCAAAGGGGACCAGACCTGAGCTGAAGGTGCAAGGCGGGGGGAGGGCAGATTGCAGCTCTGAGTGGGAAACGCTCAGCCAGAGAGAAAAGGGGAAGATGGGGGGTGTCGTGCTTCCTGTCCTTGTGCTGTGGAGCAGACTGTGGGTGAGGCCACGTTTGCTCTAGATTTAAGATTGAGATTTCACTAAAAAAAGAAAATACAAGCAGTCCAACACAGATTTTTTAAAAATACGTGAGATTCCCACCCACTATTTGTCAGGAGAGCTTCGGTGGGCCTTTTGTTTTAAAGCATGTGCTCAGGTACCACTTCTGAAAGGGGCAGCCTCGCAAAATTAACAGGAAAATATCTGATCCCACAATTTCCTAGTAACAGTTGAAGATCAATCCTGAGTTCTCTCACTAACAGGCAGCCTGTAGTACTGTTTTGCACAACTTCTAAAAAGAACTGAACAGATAGAATAGAGATACGTGTCTTTCAAAATTGCTTTGAGAATCTGCTCTGACAGTTCCAGAGTGAACAGAGTGTGAGCCTCAGGCCCCAGCCGTATGGCCAGGTCCTGCGATAATCCCCTTGGCAAGGAGACGCAGGAGAGCCAACCCTGGACTTTGACATCCTGTCCCAGCTTCTGTCATCATCTTGCTGCCTGGAAGAAAGGAGTGGATGCAGCAGTTTCTCACAGCGATCGCTATTTTTTCCTTTCTCCTTTTTTTTTTTTTTTTTGAGACGGAGACTTGCTCTGTTGCCCGAGCTAGAGTGCTGTGGCGTCAGCCTAGCTCACAGCAACCTCAGACTTCTGGGCTCAAGCGATCCTCCTGCCTCAGCCTCCCGAATAGCTGGGACTACAGGCATGAGCCACCGTGCCTGGCTAATTTTTTCTGTATATTTTTAGTTGTCCAGCCAATTTCTTTCTATTTTTAGTAGAGACAGGGTCTCGCTTTTGCTCAGGCTGGTCTCGAACACCTGAACTCAAATGATCCACCAGCCTTGGCCTCCCAGAGTGCTAGGATTACAGGCGTGAGCCACCGTGCCTGACCTTTCCTTTCTCTTTGTCCCCATAAAACCCGACCATCCTCTTGGCCTCCGTGTGGGCGCTTCCCTTCTCTTTTGCGTGCCTGGCCACACAACTCCCCTCTCTCTTTTTCCCTTTTTCCAGCCCTATTTCATCTAGGAAAAGTAAATAAACTACTTCTTCCTAACCTAAACTGTGTGTGGAGAAATCTTTCTCAAAACCCGTGTGTGCACTAACTCTCCACCCTAACACTCTCCCCCAAGGAACCAGGAGACTAGGTCCGCTCTTTACCTTTCTTTGAAAAAGAACTGCTGGCACATACCTGTCAGGACCCTGCAGCCTCAAGGCCACATGTGGCCTCTGGATCCCCAAGTGCAGCCCCTCGACCCAGACTTCACAGAACAAACCCCGCAACACTGCAGCACTGTCTGATCAGACCTCCCACAGATAAACCTGACTTTACCCTGAGGAGAGTGTAAGTTGAAGAGGCTCGAGCTTCCCTCCGTTCCAAGTGACCGTCTTAATTTAAGGATGGTCTTAAAAACATGCGTTTATATTCACATCAGTGCTTAAATTCAGATTATTGATAAAGGCAATCTTCCTTTCCTAAATTGTCTCACAGGGGGAAGAAAAAAACCGTTGATGAAATGTTGTGTTAATATGAAGAAGGTATTTCCTCAAACGTGGTAACACTCTCATGAGGCGCGTTCGGGCCCAGCACTCACGAGTAAGTCAATACCTTCCTTCACTGCAGTACAGGGGTTGAAGTTAAAACTGGTCGGATGAGTCCAGAACCCGAGTTAGTTTACAGTGGTTCTCAAACATGGTTGCATATTAGAAACACCTGCATAGCTCTTGAAAAATATGAATTCCTGGACCCCAACCCAAGATTCTGATTCAGTGATAACTCACCTTAATTTGAGCCAGAAAATGCTCTTATGTTTCTACTACTGGTGACTAAATCTCCAACCTTCCCCAAGTGTCAATTCCTTACTTCCTTCCAAGTGCTATTAAAACCAGAGCTGTTTACCCCCATGCGTTTTTTGGTTTGCAGTTAATGCTGGAAAGATGGCCAGATGATTATGTCTGCTTCCTAAGCGTTCAGCTTTGCCTAACACAACAGGTACTAGCCAGATGTATTTTTTGCCATTGGAGAACAATCAAATGCTATCTTTCTGACAGCAAAATACCCTCTTAATCAGTTGGTCCTTAGATAGTTCCATTTGTTCGTTCAGCAAATATTTATTGAGCACCTATTATGTGCTAGGCATAGATTTGGGTGCCAGGTATATGGCAGTAACACAAACATTCTTATTGTTCTCATGGAGTTTACATATTTTCCCTCTGGTAGAGGAGATAGACCAAAAAAAATTTATATATGCATATATAAATTTACTTACATGCGATATGCTGTCATGTAGTAGTATAACACAAAAACAAGGAGCTGAACTAATTATTTAAAATATGTAACCATGTTTTTATTTTCCTACAATTTAATAAATTACTTGCATTCAAGCCATTAATTTTTTCTTTCAGATGCAAGTTAATGCTGGTAGCTATTAGAACGTTTACTGTTTCTCATTCCTCTTGTCCCATACACAACAGCATTATACAACATAGTACAGGACAAAATAGATTTTGAAAATGTATAGTCACATGGATATTAATGTACTGTTTTTACTGTTGCTGTCTAAATAAGCCTAATTAAGTTACTTTTGTACGCTGGGCGCGGTGGCTCACACCTGTCATCCTAGCACTCTGGGAGGCCGAGGCAGGAGGATCACTTGAGGTCAGGAGTTTGAGACCAGCCTCAGTAAGAGCGAGACCCCGTCTGTACTAAAAATAGAAATTAGCCAGACAACTAAAAGTAGAGAAAATTAGCCGGGCATGGTGGCGCGTGCCTGTAGTCCCAGCTACTCGGGAGGCTGAGGCAGGAGGATCGCTTGAGCCCAGGAGTTTGAGGTTGCTGTGAGGTAGGCTGACGCCCCAGCGCTCTAGCCCAGACAACAGAGCAAGACTGTTTCAAAAAAAAAAAAAAAAGTTACTTTTGTACACTTCATTGTCTCTTGAGAAACACTCAAGACATAGATCTTTTTTGGGGGGGTGGGTAGGGGGTGGGAGAGGGTCTTACTCTGTTGCCTGGGCTAGAGCGCAGTTGCAGGGTCCTAGCTCACTGTAACCTCAGACTGCTGAGCTCAAGAGATCCTCCCGCCTCAGCCTCCCGAGGGGCTGGGACCACAGGTGCGAGCTGCCCTGAGAAACCTAGATGCGGTCACAGCTCCCCAGGAGCTTAAAATTCAGTGGGAAGGACACGCCCACAGTGGCGCCGAAGTGAGGGGCTGTGATTCGTGCGGTCCCTGTGTGCTACTGAGAAAGGCGGAGAGGACTGTGCTGGATCGATGCACTCCGGAATTCTGAGTCCAAACGGCCCCGGCAGCTGTCCGGCTGCCCTGCAGGGCGGACGGTTTCCCTCACCAAGGTAAATAAATAAAGCGAAACTGGCTTTATTCGGTCTGTCGGGAAGCAGACTGGAATGTAAAAAGTAGCGCGAAGGCGGCCACTCTCGAGGCCGGGCAGCCGGGAGCCCCGCTGCCCGAGGGCGGACGCCGGGCGGGGACGGCCGACCCGGCGCCGGCTACGTGAACACGGTCCGGACTCGGCTTTGCGACAAGCGGTGACGGCGCGCCGCCCGCCCTGGCTTAGCCCTGAAGCTCTGCTTTCTCCGCCTCGATCTCTGGACGTCCGTCTTGAAGAAAACAAGCGCTGCTCTTGCGCAGCCTTCACAGGTTTCGTTTTATTAAAACAGACGTAGTGAAGTATGCGTTCACTTCCCTGTTTGCCGAACGGCGGCTTCTACTTCCGCACGTCCTCCAAGAGGCGCGGAAGTTGCAAGAGGAAGCGCACACCAGGCTCGGCCCCGCCCGGGACTTCCGGCTTTGTGCACAGGGTTCCGCACCATCAAGCGAGGTTTGCTCGGGCCCTCACAACGCGTTTCCGTTCCCTCCAGCGGAAGCTGGGGAGGCCAAAGCCACAGCTCTAAGGCGGATCCCGTGACGAGTTTACGTGAGGTTTCGCGACGTGGGTTCAAATCTCACACAGGGCTGGAAAAAGGCCTAACTACACCGCCCCAGTTCTGACGTCACCGCGGAGTCACTCCCTTGGGCGTTCGTTAGCCTGCGCGTGCGTGCTGCGTGTGCGTGCTGCGCGTGCGCACTCCCTGCCCGCCGCCCCCGCGCGGGCTTCACTCCGGCCAGTCGCGCGTGGGCTGAGGCCCGGGGCGGGCGTTGTGAAGGGTTGTTTGCCTGAGTTCCGACCCCGCAACGGTCCGGAGTTCCCTCCCGGGGAGGGGGCGCACCCCCTGCCTCGGGTGAATGAGCTGTCGCGTGGGCTGCTGAGGGCGGGCTGGGGAGCGCCGGGACCGCGGCCATGAACTCGCCCGTGGAACCCGGCGCCAGGCAGGCGCTGAGGAAGAAGCCGCCCGAGCGGACCCCCGAGGTAAGGCCGGTGGCCCCGGCGCGCCTCTCCCAGTACGACGGACGGCGTCCTCCCGTCGTTCCGAGACCGCGGCGACTGTCCCCGTGCCGGAGCCTCGCACCTGCTGCCGGTGTCTGTTCTTGGCGGCTCCAGGCCCTGCTCCAGGCTCTTGTTGCGGGCGGGGTGGCGGCCGCCTTTCCTGCCATGGTGCGGTCTTCCCCGCACACCCGCCGGTGCCGGGACTTCCTGGTGTCGTTTGGGGAAAGGCACCGTTACCAAGTCGCATTTTCTGAGTTGGGTAAAGTGTGGGTCTCAGTGAGATTGCCCGTACGTTTAAGCAGACTATCAAAAACGAGGTAGAAATTGTGAGGGAACAGTCTCAGCAGTGTTAACTAGGAAATAACTTCAAGCGTCCCTGAAATAATGTGCAATTGCCTAAGAAAAGATGAAGTTTTCAAAGTCAGTTTAGAACTAACTTTGCACCCAGTCAGATGATGAATTCTGTGGTGGACGGTGGATGTTTGAAGATGTAGGTACTTTTTCAGACCGTCAGTGGGAAATTTTATAATATTTTATCCCTGGATGTAAAGTTTGCTCTGTTGGGTTAGCAGTCTTGGGTATCAGCTTAAAAGATTTTCATTTGACTTGAAAGCTGGTTTTCTGGTATATAGCTAAAACTGCAGTATATCCTATAGATATGCTTAGATTTTTGAGTGAGGTTTTCCCTGATTTGGAGAAGTTTCTTTAATAAACGCTAAGTTTCCTAAACCAAAAAACAGAAACTGACAGCGACATGAATGGGTTATTAGGTTGTCTTGTTTATAATTGTAATAAATGAAATGCTTTTGTCATTTCTTCCTAAGTCACCTTTGAGATTTTCAGACTTGCAGTGTGTTGCATAGTCAGTCTGGGTAACTTTGGGCTGACCGTTTGGGGCGTGACATATTGAAGTTGTAATTGAAGCCATGATAAATCAATTTTGTCATTGGAGATCCTGATCTTTCCATAGGAACAAGGCAAATTCTACCACTTTCCAGAGCCCTCTTTTCGAGACCTACATTTGTATTCCCAGGTGTCTTAATTTACCTGTGATGCTTATTGAAGTCAGTGTGAGCTAATTGAAAGCGTTCACATTGAGTACATGAATTCTCCCATAGCTTTTAAAGTATAAGAAAATACTATGCAAGGCTCACAGTGTGTAGTGTAGGTTTTACTTTTAAACATTACGTAAAGAAGGCTCCACTTACCATTCTAATTCTCTTGCTGTTTCCACCACATCTGCAGTTACATCCTCCACTGAAGTCTTGAACTCTTCAAAGTCATCTATGAGAGTTGGAATCCATTTCTTTCAAATTCCTGTGTTGTTGATATTTTGACCTCTATCTATGATTCATGAATGTTCTTAATGGCAGCTAGAATGGTGAATCCTTTCCAGAGGGTTTTCAATTTGTTAGTACTTTGCCCAGAGCATCAGAAGAATCACCCTCTGTGGCATTTATAGCCCAACAAAATGTATTTCTTAAAGAATAAGACTTGAAGGTTGAAGTTACTCCTTGATCCATGGGCTGCAGAATGGATGTTTTAGCAGGCGTGAAAAGACGATAAATCTCTTTGTGCATTTCCATCAGAGCTATTGGGTGACCAGGTGCATTGTCCATGAGCAGTAATATTTTAAAAGGAATCCTTTTTTTTTGAAAGAGTAGATCTCAACAGTGGGCTTAAAATACATTCAATAAACCATGCTGTAAACAAATAAACTGTCATCCAGGTTTTGCTAGTTCATTGATAGAGCACAGGCAGAGTAGGTTTAGTATCATTCTTAAGGACCCTAGGATTTTCAGAATGGTAAATGAGCATTGGCTTCAACTTAAAGTCACGAGCTCCATTAGCCCTTAACGTGATAGTCAGCCTGTCCTTTGAAGTTTTGAAGCTAGGCATTGACTTCCCTCTAGCTATGAAAATCCTGGATGGCATCTTCTTTCAATATGAGGCTAATTTTTCTACTTTGAAACTCTGTTGTTTAGTGTACATAGTTCTTCTGGATAACTTGCTGTTTTACCTTGCACTTTAATATTATGGAGATGTCTTCTTTCCTTAAACCTCATGAACCAGCCTCTGCTAGCTTTCAACTCCTCTTTTGCAGCTTTCTCATTTCTCTCAGCCTTCATAGAATCGAAGAGAGTTAAGGTATTCCTTTAGATTAGGCTTTGGCTTAAAGGGAATGTAGTGGCTGGTTTGATCTTGTATTCAGCACTCAAACTTTCTCCATATCAGCAGTAACCTTTTAGCTTTCTTATCGTTTGTATGTTCAATGGAGTAGCACTTTCAGTTTCCTTCAAGAAATTTTCGTATGTATTCACAACCTGGCTGTTTGGTGCAAGAGGCCTACCTTTTGGCCTTTCCAGCTTTTGACTTGCCTTCCTCACTAAGTGTAATTATTTCTAGTTTGTGATTTTTAAAGTGAGAGAAGTGTGACTCTTCCTTTCACTTGAACACTTAGAGGCCATTGCAGGATTATTAATTGGCCTAATTTCCATATTGTGGTGCCTCAGGGAATAGGGAGGCCTGAGGAGAGGGAGAGATGGAGGAGCAGTCAGAACACACAGAACGTTTATCAATAATAAGGACATGGTTCTTGTGGTGCCAAACAATTACAATAGTAACATCAAAGATCACTGATCACAGGTTACCCTAACAAATATAATAATGAAAATGTTTGAAATATTGTGAGAATTACCGAAATGCAACACACAGATGCCCTTGGAAAAATGCTGCCAGTAGACTTGCTTGACGCAGGGTTGCCACAAACCTCCAGTTTGTCAAAAATGCAATATTTATGAATCTCAGTAAAAATGAGATATGCCAGTACTTATTTTGTGTCATTATGCCAAAATTTATTAAGGAAGCCATAGTTGAAAATTGAAATTTTTTCAGTTCATATTCAACATCGTTTTTTCTCCCTTCTTTTTTACTTCACAGTGAGCTCCTTTATTTCTCTTTTGGTTTATTTCCCTCTCAGTGCTTAACACCATGTTTTGTACATATTAAGTGATCAGTAAATGTGTTATAAAAGCGAAATTTGGGAATATGTTTTGTAAAGTCCTCATGTATTTAAAAAATAATACTTTCTGTTCATTAGAACTGCAGACTTTATATCTTGGGCAGTCTTTACTCATCAGATTGTTATAGGCTGATACCTCCTAGGACTATATATTTCAACTTACCCCCTTTTATGTGTTTCACATCCATACATCTAACAATCACATTGTCCTCCAGGTTCAAGACCAGCCTGAGCAAGAGCGAGACCCTGTCTCTACTAAAAATAGAAAAATTAGCTGGGCAAGGTGGCATGCACTTATAGTCCCAGCTACTGAAGAGGCTGAGGCAGGAGGATTGCTTGAGCCCATGAATTTGAGGTTACAGTGAGCTATGATGCTGCCACTGGACTCTAGCCAGGGTGACAGAACAAGACTGTGTCAAAAAAAAAAAAAAATTATCCAGGTTCTTCAATCACTTATCCTAAATTGAAAGCCGTCATTATTCCCCCTCCTTAGTATTGTCTTGGTGGTTGGCCCAGTTGCTTTCTCCAGGAGTTTGTGGGTTTTTACTCTTTTTTGTTTGTTTGTTTGTTTGTTTTTTTTTAAGAGACAGGGTCTTGCTTGGTTGCCTAGGCTGGACTCCCAACTCCTGGGCTCAAGCAATCCTCTTGCCTCAGCCTCTCTAGTAGATGGGACTACAGGCGTGTGTCACTGTACCCAGCTTTGTGTTTTTACTCATGGTTCCTCCTGGTATCTTCCTCTTTATATCCAACTGGCCACTAAACCTGTTGATTTTACCTCCTGATTCTTTGCCTCTTCCTTACCAGTTCTGCTACTTTAGTTTAGGCCCTTTTATTGTTTCCACCCCTGGATTTTTTCTTGAGTCATTTTATTTGTAGTCATATTGCTGTAGAGTTATCTTTTTAATTACTCAGATCTGATCTTGTTCCACCCATACTCAAAATTTATTTCCTACTGCTTAGATATAGATTAGTAATATAAGTTATCATCTAAATAATTTTTGGGAATTAAAAGAGAAGCTATTAATATTTATGTCAGAATAACATATTATAGAAGGACTATCCTAGGTAAACTGAGATTTATGATTGCCTTTCCCAAATGATAACATTAATTTACCTATTGATTTAACAAATAATATATCTGACATGATACTATTAATAACAGACAAAAATTTGAAAGTAAAGAAGTGATACGGGAATCAGGTATGCAAAAGTAACTACAGAATTAAAGTTATTGTTTCTGGGATGAGATTAGGGGTGGGGCTGGAGATTTTTGTTATAAGCTTTGTAGCAGTATGTAACTTGCAGTGGTATCTAACTCTTTAACATCAGTATATTTATTACTTGGATTAAAAGTGAAATTAAAAAGAAAAGTGTGTGGGCTTTAGCCGCCACTGAAGCAACCTGTCAGCTTGGTGGCGCTGTTCAGCTTCTGGCCAGGAGCATCACCTGTTGTCCTTGTACTACCCAATCTGGAGGGCGGCGACCAGTAGTACTGTCATCACACTCCGGGGAACGCTGAATCAGAGACATTGCACCCAGTAAGACTCAAGAGAGGGAGTTTCTTATCTATTAAATGAGAGTCCCAGTCACAGAAAGCGAAGATGGGTGCAGATACAGCCACCCTGTCTCCAAAACTTAATGGATAGTTCTAGTTTCAAACGTTCTTCCCATCAGCCACTGAAAAGGTAGTGAGGTATTGGACATGATCCCTATTCTTCAGCGATTTGGGAGACAGATATGAAAACATAAATATAGTAAAATGTTAAGGTTATGATAAAAGTATGAATAGGACTTTGGAACTGCAAGGTGGGAAAAGGAAGGGCTTCTTGGAGTCGCATTGAATTCAGTCTTAAAAATCATGAATTGATGTCTGGATGTTACAGAGAAGGGTGGTCATTCCAAGCATGAATTGATGTCTGGATGTTACAGAGAAGGGAGGTCATTCCAAGCATAGAGAAGC